CTCTTTGTTGTAATTTACTTTCATTTTTTAGAGTTCTTAATTCTTCTTGGTAGTTTTTAACCTGATATTCTCCAATCTTCTGATGAGAATGGTAGCTAAAGTATTATTATGTTTATTTATGCACTCAGAATGGAAACTTAAATGATATGTTTCACTAAAGTTAGACAACTGAGTTCCTCCCAGAGTTGAAATTAGAATTAGAAGTGAAATTTCCTGACTTCTGATCTAATCCTCTTTCCATTATATAACAAAAGCCTTTGGTTAAGACATATTATCAGATCTCATATATTTAATTTATGAAGTAAGAAGAAAAATGTTAAGAAGAACAAACAGACCTTAAATATAACTTGTCAGTTTTAAATTTTTATATTATGAAATTAACAAAAATAATTTTTATTTGGAAAAAGAAGTACCGTAAGAAGTAATAGTTACATATTAAAGTTATTTTAAGAATAAAGTCACAATATTATTAGTCTATTCATATTATCCTTCAAAATTTTGGACCTGTTAATACACATAATGCCATAAAATTTTAGTAGTATAAAATCAATTACCAGGCAATAACTTTTGTTATCTTCTTAATGATTAATTTTATTTTAGAGGAGAAGGGCCACTGAAAACTTCCCAGGACTTAATTCATCAACTAGAGGTATGTTTTATTTCCATTTTATGCTACTACTTTAATTCTGGGCTAAAAATGGGTAATAACTGGTTTTCTAAATGATTTATTACATTGTATATGTATTTTACAAAGAGTGGTAGAAAAGTAGAAAGGTAGAGGACTTACAGGAAGATTTTGGGGAGCTTTCTTGGTTATTTCATTGGAAAGAAACTTATATATTATAGGAATAAAGTAGAATGGGCTTTATTGATAGTCAATAGATGCAATAATAAGTTTTAGGTTTTCCCAAGTAGATGAAAATGTCCCATAAGCAGATGTAAATCCCTTATACTTTTCAGAGTTCTAGAAAGACTTTTTGGCATCTTCATTATTGAATTGGATGAATGATATTGATTAAATGAGATAATACATGAAAAAGCATCTGTCACAGGCTTGAGACCAATGGAGGGGACTCAGTATGTGTTAGTTTCCTTATTTCCTTCCATATTCATCATGACTTAGGGCATTTAGGGAGAGACAGTTATGCTAACACCCACCTTTGTTCCCTGTATGTCATGAGACTCCATGCAGGCCCATTTGTAATTCTACCCTCTAGTTAGAGGCTTCAGATTGGCAAGTTGCAGAATTCCTTTCCTGTTTTCACTGATCCTTATGGTAGCCTGTTTGCCTCTCCAGAACCAAGAGCATTCCTGCATTTGAAATTTGAATTTCCTGTCACTTTTTCACTCTTATATAGTTTCCTCTGGCATTCCCATGCACTTCCACCTGAACCTCTTCAGGAAAGGGGTTTCAGCTGAAGGGGTTGATTGTCAACATAGAAGAATTATGGAAAATATGTCTTCTGGATTTTTCTGTAGACTATTAGTGAGCTATTTCCCTTAAAATGGTTGGAATAAATTCTGGATTTATTCTTTTCAGTTTGGCCCCAGCTTATTCATTAAACCAATGTCTGCTGAATTGTCTCCAAACTGTGATGAACATAAAATGGCATACTTCATGCAGCAGATATTTATTGAGCTTGTACTATATATCAGATCTTGGGGCAAAGAGCTCTTTGGAGAAAAGTGAACAAAGCAAAGTTCCTGCTGCCTTATAGTTTATATTCTAATGGCAGAATATAGACAATTAAAAGTTACATATGTAATGTACATGTATAAGTACTTGGAGATAAAATCCTGTAGGATAAGACTATAGAGGTGATAGAGGGGTGGTCAGAAGAGACCTTTCTAAGCAGGTAACATTTGAGTAGAGACATGAAGTGATAGAGTGAGTTGGATGGATAAATGGATATAGAGGGTTTTAGATAGAATAAGTGAATAAGTGCAAAGGCCCTGAGGTGCAGTGGTAGGGCTGGGTGTATCTGAAGAAGAGTAAGGAGGCAATTGTAGATGGAATAGAGTGAGGCAGAAGGAGTGCTAAAATACGGCACATCTCTTGGCCATGGAAAGAATGCTGACTCTTTTTAAAGCATGTTGGTAAACCCGTTGAGGGTTTTGGCCTCGATCTGACTCATGTTTTAAAAGGTTTTTGGCTTGACCAACAAAGTAAATGGCAGTGCCATTTACTGAGACAGGGAACACTGAAGGAGAACACCATATTTAGAGGGTGGAAATCAAGCATTTTGTTTTGGTCATGTTAAGTACAAAAATCAAGTGGGATATACAGTTGGCCCTCCCTATCTATGGGTTTCGCATCTTTAGATTCAATCAACTGTGGGCTGGGCATGGTGGCTCACATCTGTAATCCTAGCACTCTGGGAGGCCGAGGCGGGAGGATCGCTTGAGGTCAGGAGCTTGAGACCAGCCTGAACAAGAGTGAGACCCCGTCTCCACTAAAAATAGAGAAATTAGCTGGACAACAAAAAATATATATAGAAAAAATTAGCCGGGCATGGTGGCGCATGCCTGTAGTCCCAGCTACTCGGAACGCTAAGGCAGGAGGATCGCTTGAGCCCAGGAATTTGAGGTTGCTGTGAGCTAGGCTGATGCCATGGCACTCTAGCCTGGGCAACAGAGCAGGACTCTGTCTCAAAAAAAACAAAAACAAAAACAAAAACAAAACGAAAAAAAAACTAGATTCAATCAACTGTGGATCAAAAATACAATAAAACATAGCAATACAACAAGAAAAAATAATGAATTTCTGGCTGGGTTCGGTGGTTCATGCCTGTGATACTAGCAC